CTTAAACAACAACGTAAATGTTCGCGTATTGTTTCATACAGGTATTTAAAAGAATTTCGTGTTTTTTTTTAACAAACAACAAGTATATTTATCTATTAGTATGAATAAACAATAATGAGAATACCGTAAAAAGATAAAGACCATGTGTGTTTTGTTTATGAATGAAAAATCTTCTTGCATTCATTATCATCATTATAATAGTCGTATGTTTTAAGGAGGGAGAGAGCGAGAAAAGCTGTTGTTGCAGCTGATGTAAACAGAATGAGTTGGTTGGTCGATTCTGGCTTATCGTCTTTCGTTACCGCTACAACCGATGGCTCGACTTACTCGCAGAAAACAATTAGAGATGGGGCGGTAGCAATACCGCGACACTAGTTTTCCTCCTCTGACGTATGAAGTATGCATATCGTCGTCCTAGCTTAGCGCGTTCGCTTTTTTCCATTAGCAGAACAGCAAGTAACGGAATAAAGATCCTGGCATCGTCGTTTACCTTGTTGTATTCTGTATGACGGCGGTGTACAAAAGAAACTAACATACAAGGCTATGTCGTCGTCATCATCTCTTCGACAGCATCAGCGTAAATCAGTTATGGTTGCTAGTGGACATTCACCATTAGGTAGACATCATAGTGTTGCTTCTCCAACACATCATCATTCCTCAGCAACATCATTTGCAACTCAAAAATCAAATAAATCACTTCCATCACCAACAACAACAACGACTTCGACGACGGCAACAGCTAATGTTTTGTATGAAGAAGATAATAACCAATTAGATGAGAGAAGCTTAAATAATATTTTTAATTTCCAACATCAAATTAGTAATTTTCATAATTCATCATTAGATCAAAAAATAAATGAAATACATATGCCACGTTCAACACGTCATTTATGTGGTTCAATTGTTCCTTTACAATCATCAACATCATCACCAAATCTTGATCGTCGTTCTATAGAAAATGATCATTTGCATTCGCATATTTTTTCTTCTCTTTCATTTCACAAACCTGATATAAAATATAGGTTTTCTTTCTTGTTTTTCTATTTTCATATCGCTTTGACATCTAAAAAAAAAAACAAAACAATATTTTTCTTTCTTTAGAAACTTGGGACGTAATGGTTTACGAGTATCTCAATTAGGCCTTGGTACTTGGGTTACATTTGGTGGACAAATATCAGATGATGTTGCAGAAGAATTAGTTACTGTTGCATATGATAGCGGAATTAATCTATTTGATACAGCAGAAGTTTATGCAGCTGGAAAGTAAGATTTTTTGTTTTTTAATAATAAAATCATTCGATATTATTTTTATCTATTATATTAATATATATTAGAGCGGAAATAACACTTGGAAAAGTTTTAAAAAAGAAAAAATGGAGAAGATCAAGTTATATTGTATCAACAAAATTATTTTGGGGTGGAAAGTATGTTAAACAATGATTATTAGAAATAGAATTTTTTTCGTGTTTTATTTTAAAGAGCTGAAACAGAAAAAGGACTTTCAAGGAAACATATTATTGAAGGTTTAAGAGCTAGTCTTGAACGTTTACAATTGGATTATGTTGATATTGTATTTGCTAATAAACCTGATTCTTCAGTACCCATGGAAGGTAGATGAAGTATTATGTAATAATATGAATAAATTTTACATTTGTGTTTTTCTATAAAAGAAATTGTTCGAGCATTTACACAAGTTATTAATGATAATCTTTGTTTCTATTGGGGAACATCAAGATGGTCACCCATGGAAATAATGGTAATAAATGATTTTAAATTATTTCCTTTTTTCTTTGAAATAAATAAAAAAAAATCTATTTTTTCTTTTAAAGGAAGCTTATTCAGTTGCTCGTCAATTTAATTTAATCCCACCCATATGTGAACAAGCTGAATATCATTTATTTCAACGTGATAAAGTTGAAGTTCATCTACCAGAAATATATCATAAAATAGGTTAAAGAAAATGTTAAAATATTATTATTAATAAATAAATAAATAAATAATTTCTAGGAATTGGTACAATGTCTTGGTCACCATTAGCATGTGGTTTATTAACTGGAAAATATGATGATGGTATACCATTACATTCAAGAGCTGCACTTAAAGTATTAAATGATGATTTTTCAAAAATTAATTAAAATAAAAAATAATAATAATTTATTATAATTCACATAGGGATATGGATGGTTAAAAGATAAAATTTTAAATGATGAAGGTCGAAAACAACAAAGTAAATTAAGAGAATTAGCAGTTTTAGCATCAAAATTTGATTGTACACTTGCTCAATTAGCTATTGGTGAGTTTCAAAAATAATCTTTTTTTTTTGTTTCTTCTTTTAATAATTCTCCATTTGATATCAAAATAAAAAATTCAGGAAATAAAAAAAGAACAAAATATTATGTTTATTATAATTGAATATTCTTTGAGTACTAAAAATAAACAAATACATTTTCATACTATCATGTCACACCGAACATAAATGTCATAGAAATTTTTGTATGTATAATGTCAAATTAATCAAATATATCAGAATTGTTATTTTCATTGTTGAAAGTTTACATATAAAAATTTCTTTCTCATAACAAAAAAAACTAATTCAATATAAAGATAGAATAAATATTTTGTTTTTGTCATATTTCTTTCAGCATGGTGTTTAAAAAATGAAAATGTTCATTGTGTTTTACTCGGTGCATCATCAGTTGAACAACTCTATGAAAATATTAATTCAATACAAGTATAATGAAATATATTTTATAAAAAAAAAATAAAAAATTTCAATATATTCTTATTCTTTTATATTAAAGGTTGTTTCAAAATTAACTCCATCAATAATGGCTGATATTGATCGAATACTTGGAAATAAACCCTCTATACGAATACCAACAAAAAGTGAAACAAATTTTCAAACACATATTCAAATACCACAACCACAGCGATAATTATTATTGTTTTTATATTGAATGTGTTTTATTTTTTCTCTCTTTTGTCGTAGTACATATTGTATACGCAGTGTGTTTACTCGTCTTTTTATAAAAATTCATTATAACGCTGTGATTGGACTTTGATTTCTAAAAACACAAAACCAAATGAACTTCTTTTTCTTCTTTTTTTTCGATTATTTTCTACTAAAATGGGAAAGCCTTCTTTTTTTTTTATCAATCACACAAAGTTGTCATAACAGAATGGAAAATAATTAATCATCAATATAATGAAAAAACTATAGATAATTATCAGTAAGAAATACGAATTAAATAAGAAATGATTTATATTAAAAAAACATTCGATCACAAAATAGAATACAGAGAAAATAAATCGATATGATCGAAGAATAATAATTATAACATGAAAAATGCTTTTTTTTCTCCTTAGAGACAATTCTGTGTTCTTTCTTCTGAAACAAACACATGGGATTTTAAATCTAAATAAAACAATATATTAAAAGAAAATTTTATTAGACAAATCAAGGTTAAGATTCACTTCTTTTCGTTTAATATATTTTGTGATAGAAAAAATTTTCATTACGTGACGTGACATTGAATTCTTTATTCTCTTTGAATGTCAGATATGTTTTTATTGTCATATTTTTAGCATATAATGCAAGAGATGATGTTTTATAGATCAGACAAATATACATCAAATGGAATTATGTTTATTTAAATATAGAATAAAATGGTAAAAAGAAAAGCTAAATCAATCGAATATAATTGATCTGATAAACAATTTTCCATAAATAGAAATATAATCTTATTCTGTATTAGTCTTTTTAGCATATTTATACAAATTTTATTGATTATTCAAAACATATATGGTACTACAAACGATAAGAAAAATAACTTTTTAGCTTCTCGTAAAAGTGACTTATAAGAACAAAATATCAGTTTAATTGATACGATATTGGTATGAAACTGTATTTATTAGAATCATGGTACTGTTATCTTTGTTGTTGACTGAATATATTTTGTGCATTATATTCAATTGAATTTACTTTAATTTTATATTAACTAAGTAGAGAGAGATAGAGAGAGAAAGCATTTATTTCCTTCAAAAAAAAAGGATAATTCATAACATTGGAAGCCGCTCATTACATCATAATAGATGAATTGTAATTATAAAATCAAATAAGAATATTTCTATGATGAATAGATGAGAAAAAGGAAATCGAAAAGAAATCAGTAGAGTACAGAAAGGAAGACGCGGTTTTAAATTTAATCTACTACTTATTCTGTATGGGTTACTTTGACCGGAAACAATATCAAAAAATTTTCAATGACATAGATTTACAAGAGAAGAATAGTTAAAATCGAAGGTATTAGGAAAACCCTTTTTTGATTTTTTATATTATAAATAAACATCGAAATTGATGTTTCTTGATTTTCACCGGATCTCTAAAATCATTTGTCTAGACATATTCGCATCAGACAATTGCTCGTCAACAAATTCCGGTTCATTAAGGAAAAAAAAGAAGTCAACTGGTTGAGTTTCAACCTTACTAAGATTATTGTTTTTTTTTAAGTCATGTTGGATGTTAAGTAGTTCAAGACAATATTGATTACAGTTGCTTTGTTGAAAACTCTTCTAATGCTTGTTTGTTTTGAGGAATTATTGAGAATATTTCTACTATTCATTTTCATACATAGACTTATATTATCGTTTACTCATCATAGACTTTTAATGAATTCTACTGAGAGATCAACTGTTCGCGTGCAAATATTCACACGAACAATTATGCAAAATTCAATTTCCATATATAGACTAATAATCTAAGTACTAACATGAACCCATTTTTGCAACTTTTGTAAAAAGTGAATATAAAAAATGTCATAATGTCATTTTTAATGATCAAATATATCTATCAATAGTATATAGAATAATAGATGTCTATTGGTTAGAGATAAAAAATTTTCTCTATGGAGGTTCGTACATTGAATTTGATTGGATATTGAGAGAAATAAAAGAAAATCATATTTTGAAATTATGATACGTTCTTAACTCATTTTTTAATCATGCGGTGTCATTACGAAGTCCTTGGTGTTAGTCAAACAGCAACTGACGATGATTTAAAAAAAGCATATAAAAAATTAGCATTACAATGGCATCCTGGTTCGTTGTAGTTCTCATAAATGCTTAACAATCATTTTTTTTTTTGATGTTTTAGATAAAAATCCTGATAGAATTGCTGAAGCAAAACAACGTTTTCTAGAAATTCGAGCCGCTTATGAAGTTTTATCGGATCCAAGAGAACGTTCTTGGTATGATACACATCGAGATGTTATGCTTCAAAAAGCTTCTGGTGATGATTATCAAGATGATACCATTAATATTTTTCCATTTTTTACATCCTCATGTTATCAGGGATATAATGATAGTGAAAATGTATGTTGAAATAAATTTCTTTTGTGGTTTTTGTCTAATGTTTATCTTTCTTTTCTAGGGTTTTTATACAGTTTATAATAAATTATTTAAAGATATAGCTGAACAAGATTTAAAAAGTTCAACCGATAAAAAGATTGAAATACCAGAATTTGGAAATTCCGAAAGTGATTATGAAGAAGTAAGATTATAGAAAATAGAAATATTCTATGAAATAATTATTATTATATAAAAGGTTGTTGGTCCGTTTTATGCATATTGGTCAAATTATTGCACGTTAAGATCATATGTTTGGAAAGAAGAACATGACACACGCGAAGCTATGGATCGACGTGTAAGACGATTAATGGAACAAGAAAATAAAAAATTACGTGATAAAGCAAAAAAAGAACGTAATGAAGAAGTTCGAGTAAGAAACAAAGTTTATTTTGGAAATCGAAAATGATAGAACTGGCCGTTATATTTTTGACCCTCTCTCCAAAAGTGATAAATTTAGATAAAACACAGCTCTTGAAGCACAATTCTTCAGTAGTCAACTTAGAATGTCAGTAAATGTGAAGTATCTCGAAGAAGGAGAACAATCATGAGCGACAAAAAAAAATTTTTGAAGTTCATTAGAGCTAATATAAGTTCATTTTTATGCATTCCGAACGCAGAGAAAATCGAAAAAAAACAGTTGGAAGCAACATGCTACTACAATCTAAAAGCCAGTCAAAAGCTTCAGCAAATAAATGTTTGAAAAAATCATATTAAATGAAGTTGTGGTAAAAGCCTGATAGCTCTAGTCCGTTTGAAATATGTAACAGAGCTAAATTTTATTTCATTGACCCTTACACTGGTTTTTTACCTTTGACGTAGTATTAATAAAAGAAAATTGATCAAGTCAATTTTGGCGTAAAACTTTATCCATAGACAGCTTTGTCTATGGATAAAGTTTTAGGACAACATGCAAATCACTCGGAATCTCATCTCGAAGACAAGTAATCATTTTGAGTGATTTCGTCATCAAAATGTTTAGCTCTATCGATTGATATACGCCTCGAATAAAACGGTGTTAAAATTTGGTCAAAGCCTGTTTTAGTAATGCTCAATAGAAATAAGTCATATAACATCAAATCTTTGGTTTTCTTAATATATATAAAACAATACTTGCAACAAACTAATGTTTTTTCTCTCTTTAGGAATTAGTTGCATTTGTTAAAAAACGTGATAAACGTGTGCAACTTCGAAAAGTAAAATAAATAAATTAAGAAATATATGTAAGACATTATTAATTTTTAAGATATATCTTGAAGAACAAGCTGCACAAAAGAAAAAAGCTGATACTGAAAGACGTAATCGTGAAAAACAACGAAAATTAGAGTATGAAATCGAATTTAAATATTTAAATGTTTTTTCTATTGACTATGAATTTAATTTTTTTTTGTAGAGAACTAGCACAATATAAAGAATCTCAATGGATGTCATTTGAAGAATTTGAAAAACAACTGGAAGATTTAGAAAAAACAGTTAAAGACAATTTTCAAGAAACAAATCAAAATATTAGTAAAGATGGAAATGATGATGATGATGATGATGATTCTATGGACGATATAAAGGAATTATATTGTGTTGCTTGTAATAAATCATTTAAATCTGATAAAGCGTAAGAAAAATAATAATTATTGGTATTATTTGTATTTTTTTTTAAATATTTAGCTTTCTTAATCATGAAAAGTCTCGTAAACATAAAGAATTTGTTATTTTAATGAAAGCTCATATACAACAAGAAAATGAACAATTATCATTAAATAATGAAGCACAGACAAATATAAACAACGATGATTATGATGAGACCATTCAATTACCCACAAATAATCCATCAAGGTGTATTTTAAATAATTTAACATTTGAAAATTAGAACTACAGTTTTTTTTTCTTGTTTAGTAAATCGAAAAAGAAAAAAAAGAAACAACGACGAAATAATAAAGATAATAGTTCATCCGATGATGATACAGAAGAAATGAAGCAGCAGCTTGAAGAAGAAATATTACCGAAAGAAAATAACCAAGAAGAAGAAGAAGAAGAAGAAGAAGTTTCTACAGTGCCTACAAAAACTAAAAAGAAGAAAAATAAATCTACAATAGAAACAGTTGATGGAAATGATGAGGTTTGAGTTATTTGAATTTTATTTAAAATACATGATTTTATACCAATTAGAAGTAGACATAAGTTGAACTAGTCTTGTATTAGTTCTGGTACCGAACAATAAGACATCGATTTCTTATATTGCATTTAATAAAATTTTTTGTCCGCTTAGAGGTTCATATATATAGCATCTTACAATTAAATTACGACTCATTTAGTTGCAAATAGGCTTTTTGTTGCATACTCAATTGAACATCAATAAGATCAGTTCGTCCATGTCCAATCAGAAATCTTATAAAGAAACGTCTTCAAATATCAAAGCTCTCTTTCTCGACATATCTAAATTTTGACTAGATTTCTCAACAAAGCAGCTATGGTCTCCATCAATTCACATGAAAGATCGACTTTCAACTTCAAACTTTTCTTGTGAAGCATTGCTCAGGTTAGACAACGAAACTTTTCCAAGTTCGAGCTTACGAAGGAACAATTTCAACTAGTTAATCATATTTTTTTTAACAAAAATTATTCAGTTATTCGCTAATCGATCATGTTCGTCCTAAATATGAATATGAGACATACTCTTAGATTTGATCAGATTATAAAGCACATCAAATTACAAAAAATAATATAAATTTTTACATGCTAAAAATTTCTTCACAGTGCGACATATATTCTATAACCTAAACATATACAAAAAAATGGTTTTAAGCAAACAGTTCGTTACTTTGGGAAGTCGAATTTTCAGAAAACCAACATATGCACATCTAAAAACTTTTTTCATGCTCATATTGGAAAATATTACCGATTTATCCATTGGAACAGTTCTTTCGTTCGATTTATATCAAAAAAAAGTTCATTCTGCTACAATGAATCAATATGTTCGATTAATCTAAGCCTAATGTTTATTATAAATCTGTCATTCATATCTTCGAGTTAAATGATCAGAAATCAGTAGAATACGAAAGAAAAAATTCTTGATGTTAAATTGTCTTAAATTTATTTTTAGACACTAGAAGCACCAATAATTTTGCAATGTTTTGTTTGCCACGAAGAATTTTCTTCACGTAATGCACTTTTCAAGCATATCAAAGATCTTGATCATGCTAAACCAATACAAGTTAAAACTGAAGTAAAACCAAAAACAAAAGGCAAAAAGAAATAATAAGAATTTTCATTATTTATTTTGTTATTTTTTAATAAAAAATAAACAATTAAAATCTATTGTAATTTTATTTGTTATGACAATGGTTGAGATTGTTTTTCTTCAGATTTTTATTGAATATATTTTGAACAAAACAAAATGGGTAAACGAAAATCTAAACGAAAACCTCCACCAAAACAAAAACGAATTGTAGCTCTTTCTGTTGTATTTCCATGTCCATTTTGTTCACATGATCGTTCTTGTGAAGTTAAAATGTAAGAAATTTCAATATAGATATTCATAAAAATTTTTAAACAATATTCTCTAGTGATCGAAAAGCAAATGTTGGTACAATCGAATGTCGAATGTGTCAAGAAAACTATTCAACATCAATTCATTGTAAATACATTTTCTTTTCTTTTTCTGCAATATTCTCTTTTTCTTTTTTTTGATAGATTTAAGTGAACCAGTTGATGTATACAATTCATGGATTGATGCATGTGAAGAACAAAATCGAGAATAATTCGTATATATCGATTATTATCATTATTTTTGTCTCTGTGTTGTAAATTTGTGTTTTCATTAGAGATATGTGTACGAGACATTCTGCTCCTAACAGAAGAATCAAAGATATTTTGTTAAAATAAAAAGTAAAAGAATACTCAATTATTACATTGGTCTAGAGAAATCTTTTACTGTGAATTCAGGATAATGACGATATTTGTGAGTTTTTTGTAGCATAAGAAAAAGAACACCAATTTTGTGATCGAGATCAATTCTGCTCGTGTTGTAGCTTTCAAGAGAAGATATCCAATTGTAAGACATTGTTCGACTTCATATTATGATTACGAATAGGTCTTTGTGAGACTAAGACAAGCTTAAAAGGGTTCGAGTCTATACCCTATTGATAAAGAGTTATGGCTATTTAAAAGAACTTTTTCTTGAGAGAAAGATATTTCCGAAAAATTCAAAAGACATATTATTTATACCTGAAGTTTTATCTATAGACATGTTCGATAGTAATTAGATAATCCTCAAAGTTTCAACTAAAACGAACATATATTTCTCGAGATATTCAATATTCAAAACAGCAGCTGTTATGATAGGAGAACGCAATAATCGAGTCTATTTAGAAATCGTATTTCTCAAGAAAAAAAAAAGGTTTGTTTTCGTTCGAACGTTGAGAACTTTCTAATTACTAACAAATATATCTATCGGCAAAATCTCAAGTTGAATCTCTGTGTTCTGAACATTTCTGAAATGTTTTGCTCTTAATAAAAATTTCAGTTAAACAACCATAGTTCTTTCCGAGTAGATCATTGATCCCAATCCTTTTAAAACTGTCTCATCTTACCAAGACCTATTTGTCTCGTTCTCGATACAGCAATGTACTTTATAGGGAAAATATTTCTCTTCAAGAATGTGATAGTTGACTTTTTCTTTTTTTTCTGATAAGTATTCGATTTTAGCATTGATAATAGAAAGTCTCGTGCATATCTCTAGTTTATTTTGTATAGAATAATTACTTTTGCCATGTAAAAATTTCGCTATTATTGTATTTTTTATAGATAAACATGTCCTTTATTTATCGAATATAAATACTTACACTAACACTCGATAAAAATAAGAACTTTATGTGAAAAAATTTAGATTGATGTTGTAGAAACTTTCTTTTGTTTTAGTAATATTAATGCTGAAATAAAAGAAAAAAAAACAAGAAAAAAGGGTTTCTTTTTGTTTAATTTCATGAAATATTCTTTTACAATGATCGACAGTATAGTGAATGATGCTACATATTGCATGTAGAGATAATAAATCTTATAAAATTTTTATGCTGTATTTTTTATGACAAAGTGAAATACAAAAAATAAATACTTGAGTCCTAGTCGAAAGGACATTAGTAAAGACAGGTTTTATTGAGTTAATTGAATTAAATCTAAGTTTTAATACTACAAGAACTAAGATCTGATAATCTACCAGTATCACTATAAAAATAAATGTAGAATAATAAACTCTTTGTGTGAGAGTTTATTCCATTCATAAACATAAAAAACATTCATGTTATGATAATGAACAGATAATAAGGATTTATTATTCTACAATTAACTTTAAGAGCGATGTTTGATTTTTCTTTTGAATAATGATGATGCCATGAGAAGTTCTTATTTGTTCTTATTTGTTTATTAAATATCATTTAATTTTTGATTGCTTTTATTACTCATTCGAACTGTATATTTGATTATATTGATATATATCATATAGTTTTGTACTAAATAAATTTTGAATTTATTGTTTCAGATGACGAATATGAAACCTGTGCTTCTACTATTTCCAAAAACTGTATGTGAATAAAAATTGAATTCACTTTGTTACAATTTTTTGTTTCTTTTCATAAATAGCTACTCAAAACATTTTCTGATATCAATGAACTTCCATTGTCTTATCGACATCTTACTAAAGGAAGACAATTTACTGTGGTAAATTTTGTGTTTTTTTTTTCTTCAAGAACAAAAAGAATTAGTTCTGATTCTTCTTAGGGTGATCACAAACTACGAGCTCGACATCAAAATGAATCTGAGGCTGAATTTTATTGCTTTCAAAAGAGTACTAATGGAAATGAAGCTCATTTAAGTATGTTTTATAATATTCATTTCATTAGGACATTCTTTTCTTTTCCAGTTTCATCATCAGTAGAAACTTACTCATTAGTTCAAGATATTGAACCACCTACAGATTGTACACCAAAAAAAGTAACGTTTCGACCAGAATTTCCAAAACAATTAAAACTTCGTTGTTTACCATTTGGTTCAGGTAAAAATAATCGAACTGTTTCAAACTTTTTATTATCATTTTTCTTTATTGTTAGACGAGCCGAAACTTGTTATCAACAAATCAACATCAAAAAAGAAAAGAAAACGTTTAGCTGAATAAAATTATTGTTCTTTTCTTGTTTTATGCTTCATGTTCATCTGAATGCATTTTGTTTTGTTCATGTTCGAGCATTGAATTATATCATTATTAAATCTTTCAAATTGCATGCTACATGATAAATCGTTTGTTGATTGAGACGATATTCATTTAATGAGTAGTAGTGATTGATGAAAAAGTCTAGTATGATTTTGTTTTTCTTGTTTTCGTTTTGGAGATATCGAAATTTTACTATATTTGTCAACAAAAAGCTCTGATATTTCTCAGATCACACAGAAAAAAAACTTTCAACTTCAAACTTTGCATGAATAAAGTTCTCAATGAGATCAGTTCATGGAACAAGTTTGTTACGTTTCTACTATCTTCTATCCTGATATATTGAATATTCGAAATTCACTCATATGTAAAAGGATATTTTTTTTCATACGTGTATATCTCTAGAAAGAAGATACTTGAAAAGCTAAAACTTGCATAATCAACTAATCTCATTAAGAACTTTGTTCATGTAAAATTTGTTGTCGAATGTGGTTTGGCAGGTTCTCACAGGTTTCTGTTGAAAAACTTCGATATCTCAAGAATGAAGACTCAAAAAATCAAACCATTCTAGACTTTTCACTTACACACTAACACTCATTCAATGCACACTATCTTGATTGAGAAAGATAACTTGACATCTGAATAAGTTCTCTCATGAGCTGTAAAAACAAGATACGTTAATTTTAATTAAGGTAAACCAATTCGAATCTATTGGGCAAAGTTTTAATACCAATTGATAACAACTGAAATTTTCGATGGCGGAGTAAAACAAAATTTAACAGTTTTTCTTATTTATCTAGCAATAAAGTTCCGTTTAAGAATATAGTTAAATTTATTTTAAAAAAATTGAGTTATTGCCGTTCGTTTTTGGTATTTTGAAAAAGATTATACATAGTTTTTGTAATTGACTCTATTTAATATTATAAAAATGAAATAATAATGTTGACGTACATGTTATAAGTCAGCAATACGATCTTATATCTTCATGACCGTATATGAAGTAAGAGAATGATAAATGGAGAAATGTGAGACACAATAGATTTCTCATACAATCTTCATGCACAAAAACAATAAATCAGCGTATATTGTGTTTATGTAAATATTCTTATATCTTCGTATTGTATACACAAATATACAATCATAATGCCAAGTCATATAAACTGCCTTATCTCTCGAAGTACGGTTATTTTTCGATCGTATTTGATTAACCTAGACATTTGAAAAATTTGCAAAAAAAAATTGCACCTCAAAACACATATCGACGAGATAGAATGGAGTGAATATTTAATGAAATGACTATGACAAGACTGACTATTTAGCTACTCGGCAGCTTCCTACTATAGATTAAATAATCATATTCATAATTATATAAAAAATAAAGAACTTTATTGAAAGATAAAATTGAAACTAACAACCATTCCAACATGCACATTTACTAAATAAAGTTAAATTATAATGTCGTAATGCATATTCACCATTTATAGCAAGTTGATCGATTTCATTCCAACAAGCAAGATTAACTATTGTTTGACGATCTTCTGTAGAATAAACAAGTGTTACGTTACCATCAAGTGTTACTGACCAACTGACCATTGCATTAAAACCAAGAGCATAATAAGCTGATCCATCTTTAGCAACTATGAAGAAAAATCTATCGTATTCAATGATAACAATTAAAAAGAAAAATATTTACTTTGACATATAGCTACATTCGTGCAAGAAGATTTTTCAGAAAATGAATAACATGGATTATAACTGTATATTTTTAGATAGATTTAAAATTTAAAAAAAGACTCTTAGACGTTATGAATAATAGGAGCTTACGAATAAAAATAATCGTCTTTGAGCACATGTCGAAAGGCGGGAATACCATGTTTTAAACCAACTCTTGATAAGTCAATACGACCAAATATTGCATCCGTATAAGTACAATCAAGTTTAGTTAAATTATCCTTGATTTCAATTGATGCATGTTCTGTAAAATAAGCATGAAGACAAAGAAAAATAAGGACTATACTTCTCATCGTTGTAATACAGAATAAACGAATAACAATATGACTAAGTAATCATAACGATGAAATGCTATTGTATTTAAATAAATAAAGCAAGAGATAAATGATAGAAGACGATGACACTTAGTTTTTTTCTCTTTAACACTTTATCTTCTATTTATTTTGGTTTTTGTAAGAAAACTACTTTTAGATGATGATGTTTCAATTAAAAACATATATAGTTATTTTTTCTATTTTATCATCATTGAGTATAGTTCATAATGCACATCGATTTCAGTTTAAAAGTTGAGATGTCATTGATCTATTATCTGTAAGGTGTACATATGGAAAAACTGTTCACTCAAACGAAATTCTTTCAATAGGAGCTAACTGTACTAGAAATTTATTACTTCTATTCAAAACTTAATGACACTTGTATTTGAGGATGTGGATGAATCACGTTGCTGAAATTACATTCTTTCAGTTGTTTGATTTTTTGCATTCTCGTTAATGAATTATTTATTGAAGATATATCATATTGTGTATCTTTTATTGTAGACTCTTATAGAGAATTGAATATAACCATCAAATTGTTAAGTAGGACAACAACTACAAAACAAATATCAATGGTATGATAAAGATCTGTAGCATCTATTCGTATTAAACATTTATAAGCATGGGAATATAAAAAGGAATAGTACACCAAATAAGAAGTACAAATAGTAAATACTTGCAAAACATGTTATGATCGACAAAGATTACATAATTTGACTGTTTTTGTTTTTGATGATTGACTATAATAAGAAACACAGATCTATGTTAAAAGATGACCATGAAATAATCATTACGTATTTATATGAAGTCTACAAGGGATAATATTACAGTATTTTAAAAGTTTATTTTAAGCTGAGTGAATTTTTAGACTAATATATACTAAATGATAAGGGTAATATTAGTCATAGCAGCAGCAGCAGCGATGAAGACAGAACACTATTTAGAATGTAGCTGTTATTCATAGAAATACAATACAATGTCAAAATTTATCAATGTCAAAATGAATGTCGAGTATAATAGTAAGATGATACCAACGAGAAAGTGCTCCACACTAACTCTCACCTATTGACAGCCTGATCTTTGATCCGAGCACAGGCACACACTTTGAAAATTATATACAGAGAGATTAATGAATAAGAATGAATACTCTAATTTAATATATTATGATAATTCTTTTTATGATAAGTAAAATAAAATTAAAGTATTGGATATTGTACCCATGAAGAAATTTTTTTTGTATGTAAATATTCATAGTTCACCAAGAATGACCTTTTTTTTTTTTTAGAAATTTATCATGCATATTTAGAAACAATCATAAGACAATGAATAGACGATAGAATGAATAAAATTTACAGTAAAGAATAAATTTTACTTTCAATATAAATTTATTTACATATTTGAAAAATTATATTTGTCATGAAAAAGAAAACTCACAAGTGAAAAATGAACAAATCACTGATGATGATCTGTCAAAATCATACGTATTACAAAAAATGTCAATTTCAGTTTTCTTTATTTTATTATTTTTGGAACGTTCTAGTTATTTATTTTGAAATTCTGTATTCCTGAATAATCAGTCACAAAGCAAGGAAAATTTACTCTCTTTTTCAGAAAGTATGACTGAATGAATTGTATAGAAAAATATTTCAAATATGGATATCATTGATATTTATCTCAATTAGGACGACTCTATTTCCAAGAAAGAATATTAGAAAGCAGTTTGAATTTATATCATGTAATGTAACATATTGAGATTGAAAGAATTTCATGAACGATTAATAATAGTGGAAACTTCGTGCAATAGAAACCTCTTTTTTGTCTATCATATCAGCATCGACACACTTCCGTTCATAATGTCTGTCAACGATCCATTATCTAATTGACTAAATGAAGTTAGAGGAAGTTAATATTCATATAAATAGGATCACATATTCATTTATCAATCAAATCTTACTTTCATACTTTAGCATCATTCTTAAACGAACCCAAGGAATATTTATCACAAATGCATGGTCATTTTTTTCCTTGGAATAATAATAGAATTAAGTTTAATGACTAGCGCTCTCTTTAGTTGCGTTTTGTAATTGGATATAACAATCGAAATAGACGATATTATCCCAGTCAGACTATTGTTATAATCTTTATAGAGTTTTTAACTTTAATATCAACTTAACCTTATTATTTTTCTCTATTATTTAGATGGAATTATGCCAGACATCTAACTGTGCTCATAGTCCAATAGCTATTTGTTTACATTGTCAAGGGGTAAAAAGAAAAAAAACTTGTTTTCTATTTATTTTAAAATTTTTTATTCATGGTAGCATTTATGTGTTGAACATCTTTTACAACATAATGAACAATTACTATGTGAAGCAAATACGTATTGTGATGAATTTAATAAAATAACTGAAGAAATTGAAAACATGTCATTTGATGAACGATTTACATCAGCTGAAGGTTTCTACTTTTTTTTTTTTATTATTTAAATGAAAAAAAAAAGAATTCTTTGTTTTTATTAGAGGATTTAAATGATTGGATAAATGATCGAATGAAACAGTTAGATAAAATTTATGAAGAAAAACTATTTGAATTAAAACAAGCACATTTGGAAGTTGATGAAAAATTAAATAAATTCAAACAAAATCAACGATCTAAAATAACTAGTATACAACGTCGATTATTTAATTCACAATTAAATAAACAAATAGGTATCGAACAATTAGATCAAATGAAAACAGCTGTTGAACAATTACGTGAAGATGTTCATCAATTTAAAACAAATCAATGTTCAATCAAATTGGTTAATAATGATGAAATGAATTATTCTTATAAACCAAATATTGATATACAATTACAAAAGAAAATTTTACATGATAATGAAACTATTATTAAAATTAATAATGATATAAATCAAAGTTCGATTGAAAATAAATATTTTTTGTTTTCTTCTTATTAGAAAGTTTTCTTTTTTTTTGTAGCATACAATTCGTCAAAAAATTCTCAATTACGGGCAGATGCTAAACCATTTGAATATATACCAAAGGAGCAAAATTGTGATTCTATTTCGTCTATTCGACAAAAAGATTTTTCTGGTCGATTATTCGATGGATATGCTTTAGTTGGATCAATAAATAAAGTTAGTTTAATAATTATTTAAGTTTTAATTTGTTTTTAATTTACATGTTTTGTAGACAATGTGATTGACTTGTTAATATCTATCAACTATTTGAAGCAAAAAAAATTTTGTTCAATAGTATGATCTGTTATATTTTGCTTTTAAACTTGTTTTTATATGTCTCATATCCTTTTTTTTTCTATATGTAATTCTGTATGAAGATTTCTTGGTTCTCGTTTTTTTTCTGATTGGTATTGTTTTATTTTAGTGATATATTAAAGAAAAAAGAAACTTTACGACCTTTGGATTTTTATCAGGAAACATATTGATGATGATCTTTTTAGATAATATTATATCAGTGTGTGTTTTATACGAATAGATATTATGACAATTAATTAATACAAAAGAGAGAGGTATGAAGTTTTCAAATTTATGTTTTTGTTTTTGGTAATGATTTTGAATTATTATTATTAGGCGATGAAATCGATTGTCAACTGTTTTGAAGGAAAACTGAAATTCCAATCCGAGCCTAAATTTATCTCAGTAATCTTTATGCAAAGCCATATTTCTATGAATAGTTGGTGCACTGTATAGTTCGCACCATGAGACATTTATATCGAACTATAGTTTTATAATACTATTCAGTAAGTACTAAACAGTACGTATTGAAATCATACTTTACTTCTAGTATTCTACTGACTGCTACACAGTGAGACAAGTGTTTATACAAATACGGGTTTTTAGAAGTTAATGATGGAAACTGAAACCGAAAATTCATTGAGATTTCAGGTCAGATTGAAACTTCTTTATTCTGTCTTGAATATAGTTTGATATCATTGTATCAATATCTTTACTCAGAATTTTTCATCCTTGTTATTATAGAAAGTGAATGAAGATCATAGAAAGATTTTCTAAATTAAACCGTCGTGCAGCACCACCAGAAAATGAACTTAAGAAATGTTGTATATGAAGATCAGCACAGTTCTAGATAGTGACAAATAGCTATTTTCATAGATATTTATTCGATTTTAAAGATCCTGATTTCTTGAATTTTCATACTCTGAACCAAAACTGATTCGAATTTCTGCTATATAAAAAAAAAGCTATATATGAGTGTATCTTAGTACTGTACAAATTTTGTACTTCTCGACCCGTTGATCAAAACTAAATCGTTAGTCAAGCATTTGTATTCATCTCAAAAATCTTTTCAACCAATTTTGTTTACAAAAATGATTTCGATGAAAATACTCGCTTGACGTTACGTAGTAATTACATGGACAGTAAAAAACAAACCTATGAGACATTAGAACGTACATGAAATTTCGGCTGATCTTATAGAATACAAAATTTTGCGATAAGAAATCTAGTTACATGTACTAATAGTCTCTTATGAAAACTATTAAATAAAACACAAATATCCTCTTTAATCTATTCAAAATGATAAAATGTTTTATTCTTAAACAAGTTAGATTTTTTTTTAAAATATAAAATCGATAGCGTTACGAATGAACTATTTGTTCATATATCTAGATTCATAATTTTTTCATATTGTAGAGAAGAAATTTTTCAGTGAGAGTAGCTAACAATGTACGATTTAAATATTTTGTAACCAACACTTTTGAAAGAGATAATGAACCATCTTTCAAAAAAAAAACAACAATTGACTTTCTACAATGTATCTGTATTAAAATACAAAAGCAGTAAAATTTTACTAGATATATTGTTGCTTAAAGTTTTCTTTTAGAAAAAAATAAAGCGAAACGAATAATCATCTTAAAAATATTGATTATTTTCTCAATATAAATAGACAGATATCTTGTCATTTTTTTCAGATGTCTTGTTCCAAAATTAGTCTTGACGAAGTAATTCGTTTTACATCACGTACAGCTGGTCGTGATAAAATCTACCGTGTAATTCAATATGCATCACGTTTTCTTGCATGGTATTGTATAAAGAAACGACGTGTTTCAAATGTTGAACGACTTGTTGAATTATTTCAAAATTTAGAATCAGTTATGAGTTTAACTCGAAAAGGTAAAAAAAAACTGAATAGAAAATTTTTTTTTTTTTTGTTAAATTCTTTATTTTTTCAAAGGAATGCGTCTTGGACGTTTTGTCGATTATGTAAAAAGTGTTTTGGAAAGTTTTCATATACGAAATAAACGTATTGGAACATTATTTGGTTTAATTGCTGTTTGTCAAAGTTTATTTATGTTGTTTGATAATCTTTTATTACTTCATCGTTTTAAAATTATTTATTTAAAATATCCACAACATTTACAACAATATCTTTATCAAGTATGGTTACTATGGTTATCATTAGCATTAACACGTGATTATTATGAAATGCAAGCATCATTTGCTGTTGGACAACATCATCAACAACAAAAACAAGAAAAATCATTAATGAGATGTGCAAATATATTTTGGGCAAATAAACCGTTAGTTATCGATACGATTAAAAATCTATGCGATATTTATATACCATTATCAAATTTGAATGTTGTTCGTGCTAATACTGGTTTACAAGGCCTTGCTGGCACAATTTCATCTATTCTAGGTTTATTACAACTATGGGATAAAACTTATCAATTACCAGCATAAGAAACAAAAGTTGAAATAATTTTCTATTTTCATTGTGATTCTTTTTGATTTGTAATGGTCCGACTTTTTTTTTTATATATGTATACATATATTCATATAAACAAAGAGATATAATTACTGAACTTTCTTTTTTTATTCTAGATGGAACTACCAGAAATTTTCTACAAAAAATCTGATTATATTGAAACAACATCAGGTAGAGAAAAAAATTTTTATTTACGTACATTCAAATTTTAACACTTCTTTTTCTTCTTTACAAAAGGCAATAAAGTTTGTCGTCGTTCAATAATGTGTGGTTCACAAAATATTGTTCTTCAAGGTAAAACAATTGTTATGGCTGATTGTATTGTTCGCGGTGATTTAGCTGCTGTTAAAATTGGAAAAAGTTGTATTATCGGAGAAAAATGTGTTATTCGACCACCATTTAAAAAATTTGCTAAAGGTGTTGCTTTTTTTCCAATGCAAATAGGTGATCATGTTTTTATCGAAGATGAATGTGTTATTAATGCTGCATCAATTGGTTCTTATGTACACATTGGAAAAAATAGTGTTATTGGAAGACGTTGTATTATTATGGATTGTTCTTATATTCTACCGAATAGTGTTATTCCACCTGAAACAGTTATACCATCATACAGTAAATTTATTGAAAATGTTTGTCGAATTAAATTTATTTGATTTTTGATTTAGCGGTTTATGGAGGATCACCAGCTGCTTTTGTTGAAGATTTTCCTGAAACAGCAAAAGAATTAATGATTGATGTAACACAATCGTTTTATCAAAATTTTAAACCCATTGTTTAAAACTTTGGTATTTTGTGTTCAGATATTCTTTATTTAGTTGGTTCTTTGTTTTATATTTATTCTTTATCGAAGAAAAAAAAAACAAATTATAAGGGATGTTCTGTATTATTTGATACGACAAAATATTTGTTGGATATATTGTATTTTATTATTATTACTCTTATAAAAAAGAAAGCATATAAATCTAAATAAATATAAGTTTAATCTGGTTTATCAAGTGCATTGATAACATTTGTTGAAGTTTTCTTTTCAATTCATCGATGCTGTTGACTAACACAAATAATTTCTTCAAACATTTGAAATTTTAATCAATGATTCAGAAGTCCTGACTTATTTTGTATAGAAAATGTTTCTATGCGAATAGATGTTCTTATAGAATAGTTTCTATACCGAATAGCTAAAGTAAAATGAGCTTTTTACGACGCCCTTAAACCGACTTCACTAACTTATTGAATAATCATAATTCATTCCCATCATGTATCTTCTCCGTCGGTACAGAAAAATATTTTATTTAGAAAAATATCTCAGTTTTTTGTTAGTTTTTCTGAATTTATCAATGTTCTAACTCATTTTCCAGAGACGGAGTAACGCAAAAGAAAAGTTTTTATTTTTCATCAGAATTTATGAAGTTCATTACAAGATACTCTCCCAAATTTTTTTCAGTTGTATTTTTCATTGATTCTCTGTAATCATTCTTCAAATAGTCACTCAAATGATCAAGACGTAGGTGGAAAAATGAAGGATTAGTATGTAATTGTTTAAAAAAAGTAGATCATTAACAAATTTGACATTTCTTTTACTTGCGTAAAATGAAGTATTATGAAATGCGTATTTTGAATACATTCGTTTTTTTACATCAATATTTATAAGAATAAACGAATGTTTTTATTTTTTCAATACATAAAACAATAATTTCTAAGAACTTTGTAAACAGTAATTCGTCAAATTATTTCTAAAAATAAATCTAAATAAATATTCTCGATGATAAAAACATGATAAATTCATTTTAGTATATTTAAAACAAAGAAGTAAATATTAATTTAGTAATCTAAGATTCAAATGATGTAACATTCAAAGAAAAATACAATTTTAAATTATAAATCAATTTGTTTGTATTGAGTTTGTTGATTTCGCATGTAATTGAGATATCGATGAATCATTTTCATGCTTCAGAATATTTTCAATCGCCATAAGTAAACGAATAGTACGTGGATCAAGAGTAGGCTCACCGACATTAAGGTGATTGCAAACATGAGCAAAAGCCAATTGTTGTGGAGGATAAGCAAATGCACAACTACCACCCATACCTATGCAGTAACAAATATCAAATTAAAATTTTTAAAACATTAAGAAATATTCTTTTGTTCTAACATTTTCTTATTTTCATTATATAAAAAATTTAAAAAAGACATATCATCATACCTTTATGACCAAATACACCAATGCCCATTGCTTTGAAATAATCACTATACATTTGAAAACCACCCTTTCCAAAATTTGATTTTACGCCAAATAAAATTCGATCAGGTTCATCCGTTGGTGTAACACTTGTTGTAGCTTGTGATAATGTCTTTTCGCTTATAAGACGTTGCTTTTTCTGACCATTTTCATTGATATCACCAATGAGACGTGCATATATTCGTGCTAAAGTACGAGCATTTGTAATACCATTAGCAGCAGGAATTTCAGCTTGATGAACTTGAATCTTATTAAAGAAACTATCACTACTATTCTGTGGTTCAATGGGAAAAGCACCATTGCATGTTAAAGCTTTTTCAGTGAACGAATTCATTGGAGGAAGAGTAACTGGATTCATATTGATCTTATAAAAGATGAAAATATAATGTAGTTACTTATCAAAGCAGACGACTGTAGATATCGATTTATTGAAAGATAACATAAGGAAAATTTTGTTTATGAAAAAAGAAACCCTTAACTATTCCATAAAGAAAAAAAATCTAATCCCATTCTGTTACTCAGCAACTGAATACGTACCTTTCGAAAAAGGGGAGCAACACGTGCTTCAATCTCATTATTGGATACACCTACGTAAACTTCACTATCTATTTCATCACGAACGAATTGACCAAAAGAACGATGATGAGGATCAACACGACGAACGAGTTCACCACCAAGAAAACCACTCGTAACTGGATGATATCCATGTGTTGTTCCAGGTTCCCAATGTGGCTTTTGAGCTGCCAATAGAGTAGTCATTCGAGACCAATTGCATACATCATCAAGCGTTAATCGTTCATCAACATATGGCAAACCAGCTCGATGTGACAGTAAATCACTTACTATTATATTCTTAAGAAAAAAAAATGTTAGCAATCTAGTAGTACTGCCCATCGGACATGTTGTACCTGTTTTCCATTCGTAGCGAATTCCGGCCAGTATTGTGCAACAGGTTTATCATAGTCAAGCCAACCTTTTTCTACACATAATGCTATAGCTGCAGCCATAATACCTTTGGATACTGAGAAAACCAATTGCAATGTATCTGATGTATAAGGTTCTTTATTTCTTTGTAAATCTTTCCAACCACCATACAAATCGACAACACATTGTCCCTGATGATAAACACATAAACTTGCACCAATATCAAGTCCTTCAACTAAATTTTGTTCGAAAACAGAGCGAACACTGTCCCAACCCGAAGCAACATAGCCATGTATATTGTTATTGCTGTTGTTATTTGCCATTGAAGGTATCAATCAATGAATGGTTACTTCAACTCGTATGTGCTCGTTCTGTTCGAAGGCTCTCATACACTTTTTGTCTACAATGTGTGTAAGCCTTTCTGAAAGAGAAAAGAAAAGACGAAACATTAAGAATCCTTTTTGTTTCGTGTTACCTGGCTCGCAAATTGTTTATCGATGTCATAAATCACAAAGTGACAAACATTATGCATATGTTAAAGTTATATCAGTCAAAGAAAATGTCCTCTCTTTTACCGTAGACTTTCTTATCAATAAACCAATATATGTAATATCGAAAATATTCTTTTTTTTTCTAATTTACTAATTTTTTCTTCTAAATTGCAAGGATAGAGTCTAGTAATGGTAATTCAATCCTCTCTACTATGATCGAAAGTAATGCGTCGATAATTAAAATAAAGAAAACAAAAGTTATAGAAATACCGAGAGGTACCAATGTTGAAAATGATGGAGTATGGAAAGAGAAATCCTCTTCTCCTAATCTTCACTCTTACATTCACATTTTGGTCTCTTATTTTTGTTTCAACCAATATTGAGCGTACCGAGAAATCAGCTGTCTCTGTTTGTCTGTCTGCAACATAGCTACCATGAGGTAATAAGGCTACAAATGAGATGTATAGTCATATTTACATAAAAAGAAATTACCAAAATTTCCATCAACTCAATAACCACATAGCAATATAAATCAACAGTTTTTGGGAATTTGCAACATACAGAACCGTTTGGAACACAAATATTTGCAATTTTAAAAATTTCCTTTTTTTTGGAAGATTAAACACTATTGACAAATATTGGCGTAAGATAACAAAAAATGGTACTTATGCATAAAGATTTGAAATTAGCTAAAGAGAAATATTCTAAGACGCAGAATATTAAACTGGTATACATGCTGTATTTCACTGCATACGATCGTAATTTGCTCTATGAAATGATTCAGTATTACGATCGTATTTCTCCGTATAAGATACCAAGAAATAAGATCATCATATTGACTCATGTAATATGGCAATAGACGACCATTTAGAGTCATTTACAACTTTTCTTGTTCGATCAGATAAGTCTTTAGAAGTGACGATTCGAGCCAAATAAGCGCGTTCGTAAACAACCGTTTTAAATGTTTTTTGTTGCCGTTGGTTAGACACAGTATTACGTCTGAATTTCACTCTTTTTTGCAAACTAAGTAAATGGTAGACTCAATTTTCAGACCGCATGATCATCGTTATCAACTACGTACAGTCCAATAAAGTACAGTTTTAATACCGCACCTATTAAACATTAATTTACAGCTATTTAAGACCACAAACTGTATGAAACAATAGTATACAGTATCAGCTTTGACCGTTTCGATTGTTGTAATTATCGTCCTGAGGATCAGTATTATTAATCTATAGAATGATACAATCGATTATTCAATGCTGTGTACATGAGAATGGCATGTAATAACTATGAAGAATTAGGAGTCGATGATAGAAATTTGAATAAGCCCAAAACAGTTAAACAATAAGAACATACATAATAGATATAGTCAAATTACGAAGGCATCTGTTAAAGAACTCGCTTAGTGTTGAAAACTTACACTGTCCGTTGAAGCAAGGTCTAATCAGTCTTAACTACACTGAAAGCAAGTATTTTAAATATTTTGTAACGAACATTCATTAGCAACCAACGAGAGACAATACAGATTAAAAGAGAAAAGGAGAAAGATTTTTGTCTAAGAATTTAAGTAGATAGTTAGAGCGATATATATAGATAGTGATGTAGGTAGGTAGATAGATAAACTGTAAGAAGAATTGCAGAATATTCAGCCGTTGCAATTTAAAAAACTTTCTATAAAGTCCCGAAGAGTTCATGACCTGAAGGGTTAATAAGAATAAAGGTATATGGCTCATATTGGAGGGTTTACTATTTAACATATCCATCAGTGATTATTATTCGAATTACAAGAGTATATTATTATGTGCACACGGGTAAATTATTCCATGATTTGAGCAATGGGGTAGGTTACTCTACGACTTTAGTCAAAAGTTTACCATTCTACATAACAAAGAGTATTATTCTACGATTTTAGAAAAACGGTTTATCATTCTACCCACAAGGATACATTATGTGGCGTTTTCATCAGAAGTATTTATGATCCTTAGCATAAAAGTAGATTATTTCACGGTTCTTTTTTACTGTCTAGTCATTCCAATGATTGCCCAACATCTGATAAGAGAAATGGAACAAAATGACATAGGTTTTTTCTTTGCTTCATTAGTTTATCCCGCTACAGTTCTGCAAAATTTCACAACAGAAACAGAACAAAATGAGCCTGCTTGATTTTCTTCTTCATTTAGGAATTCCGACAGTCTTTAACCGATTTATGAGTCAAACCCATTAGGTTACTTTAAATGACTTTTCTTTTTCTTCATTTAGTTATAATGATAGCTATTGCCCGTTTTGTGAAACTAATTGAATAACTTTGTTTATTTTTCTTTTGATGGATTACTTATTCCGATAGTTTTCCCGTATCTTATTAGAAAGTTTGAGAAAGTTAGTTTATTTTAGTTTTCTTTTTCTTTCGTTCAGCTATTTCGATAATTCTGGTGCATAATATAAGAGAAGTTAAATCAAAAAAGAGTAACCTTAGTTTTCTTTTGCTCATATTTAGTTAATCTAATAGCTGTTGATCATCTTATTGCAAGGCACTCAATAAATTTGCTTGCTTGATTTTGTTTTCGTCGACTAGTGACAGTAATAATGATTCTCAATCTTATGAAAGAAATGGAATAAGTTAGTTTAGTTTATTATTTATTTTAAAATTTAGTTCTGCATACATTTGTCAAGCATATGATAACAAGAATGGAAGCAATTAGTTTGTTGCTTTCTTTCGATAGTTTGCTTTCCTGTTGACTATTTAGTATTGTATAGAGAAAGATAAAATAAAACAATATATTGCACACTTTTTTTTCTTCAGCTTGTTTCGTCGATAATTTTTCTCGGTCTAAAGAAAGAAATAGTATATATTAGTTTAGCTTACTTTTTCTCTCGGCTTAATTTTGCTTATATGTGTCAAGCAATTAACGGTAAAAATGAAGGCAGTTAGTTTATGTTTCTTTTCTTTCTGTGATATATCTTTTGCGATAGTTTTTCAACATCTCTGAAGGCGTGTAGAATGGAATGATTCAGTTAAGTTATGTTTTATGTTACAGTCTTTTGTATTACTGGGCTTGAGCATTGATTGAGTGCTATCGAATTTTCAATCATTTCGATGCTTTAAAATTCAGGTAGATAGCTTTTTGGTAAATGTTGAGAACTTCATAAAATAGAAGTTTTCATTTGATGCTTTGACCATCCTCTTTAGATTCGTGATCACCTTCAACCCTTTTTTATGCCGAATGGTATACATTGTCATATATCCGTGCTGCGATTGATGATCCTGAGAAATCATTCTGGATACTTATTCAGATGCGATTCGTACCATTCATGACGATCATGAACCCTTTCGGATACCGTTTAATAAATCCTTAGTACGATTGATAATTCTCATGAATCCTTTCAGATATCTTTTCATGAGTCGTATGTAATATTGACGATCCTCAGAAACTCGTCTATCAACCCTTTCATAAATGCTTGGCATGCTTCATTATCCTGACAAATCGTTCCATATAGTCTTTCATGAGTCTTATTAGATATTCTGAAGTGTGTTCCATAAAAATTGATGATAAATTATCAGTCATATTGTTCGTACTTTTTCCTAATGTAGACCGCTGAAATTTTGATCGAATATATATTTAACTAAGACCTTTTATTTCTGAAAATTTCAACTCTCTAGCTATAACTACTGATGAAATACATCAACAAAATTTAAGTATTTGAATCCTCTCAATTTATTTCATCAATAGTTACAGCTAGAGAGTTGAAACTTTCGGAAATAAAAGACCTTCATTATATCCATAAGGTGTTCAATATATC